CCATCCCTTCTTTGCCTCCCTAGATCAATCATGGCTTTGTTACTCACATTCAAAGTGATCAAAATCAGTTCCCTTTTGTCTACTGGATGGCCCCGAAGGAAGAGAAGCAGTATCTGGGCATGGTCCAACTGCTCCTCTTCTTTGGATGGAGGTGGATCGGTCTTTTTGCTCCAGACACGGACCATGGGGAGAGGTTCACCCGAACCATGGCACCCCTCTTGACCAGCAGTGGGATTTGCATTGCCTTCACCAAAAAGCTACCAAGAAAAAGCATACACCGATTGTCCCAAAGTGACCTATCCGTCAAGTGGAGACAAGCCAATGTCATTCTTTACTGTGCAGATTCTCATTATGGTTGTGGTCCGATATTCTTGATAGAAAAAATGCTTGAAGCGACACAAACAGGAGCAAAAGTCTGGATCACAACCAATTTCTGGGATATCAACCTGAACGTTTGTCTAAAACATGCAGACTTTGCATATTTACATGGTTCATTGTCCTTTGTAATGAGGACCACAAAAAAGACAAAATACGACTATCAAGCACCAATTTCCAATATAACCAAACAGTTTTGGTATAAAGCTTTTCAGTGTTTCTACTGGACAGAGACATTGTCCCTGAACACTGGGACAAGATGCAGAGAGAATGAGAACCTGGAGACGTTGCCCCAGGAAGAGGTGGAGAGAATGCTGTCCCAGGATAGTTACAGTGTGTACAACAACGTCCAAGCTGTAGCCCATGCCCTGCATGCTGCATCTGCATCTCAATCCAAGTGGAGATTGAGGGTGGGTGGAGGAGAAAGGCTGGAAGGTCCAGCAATGCAGTCATGGCAGGTACTCGTATTCCTTTTTCCTCTTCCCTCACCAGAACAAAGGGCAGAAAAACCTTACTAATGGAAGCCAAGCATATTTTCCAGATCTTGATTTTTCCTAACATGTGGCAGGATGGTCCCCGACAAGGACTATTTAGCAGAGCTTCTGGCCTCATCTAAGATCCAGGATTCATCTAGTCTAGGCTCTGCTGAGATGGACAAGTGGCTGCCCAAGGAGCCATGTAGTCTTCCCAGGATGTGGTGAACCTGGGCACATTCCCTCTGATACTGGAGGTGCCTGTTGCCCTCAGGAATACAAGCCACTCGCAACCTTCTCCAGGAATTTGTCTGAACTGAACTCCATGGAAATTTTGAGCTCAGGATGAGTAGAGACAATATATTGAATATTG